ATCTTTACCAATTTAAATGCAGCTAATTTGACTAGCCTTCTAACATTTCACAATATCCAAACACCAACCTGGCAGAGCCCAACTGCAGTTAGCCAAATAGACGATTTCTGGATTTCATCAGATATACTCCTGGCATTTGATATCCCCCAGCTAATTAATGCCTCAAATATTTCAGGAAGCGATCACCGCATTCTACAGACAGCATGGCATACAAATTTCTTACCACAAAAATGTCCAAGAAATAAAAAGAAGAAACGGAAAATATATTTGTATGAGAAGATGACACCAAAAGATTGGGAAAATTTCGAAGAATCGATAAATAATCTCTTCAACCAACATCCCATTCTCCTCTCAGATATGGACAAAGACAGCACCAATAGAGCCTGGAACTTTTGGGCAGCCAAAGTGAAAGAAGCAATGAATAAACACATCCCACATACATACACTGCTCCAAAACCCTTCTATGCTCTATCACTAAAGGCAACCAAACTACACTCAGCCTTAAAAAATATTAATAAGTGCTTAAACTGCCTTTCGAACAACTCCTTGATCGACTTGCCAAAAACAAACCAACACTTGCTTAGAGCAGCTACTTTAGCAGATATAGATATCTCACCAATAACACAGAAACAACTCATATCCTCTCTCACTACCTTAATAGACCAAATAAAACAACACAAGCATACTATCTGGCAAGCACGAAATTATGAAAAAAGGCAGAAGCAAAGCGAAAGAATTAAATTCTACATCAACCGTAGATATTCAGACTTCAAGGACAATACTAGTCGTATGATAGATAGCATCTTACAAAGAAGAGTTGAACCAATCAGCTTTGAAAAAGTTATTTTACCAGATGAAGTAATCACAAACGAAGATGAAATTAAAGAGGCAGTGCGTTCACACTTCAAACTGTGGACCAAAAGTAATCCTCCTAACAACACCCTCTGGAAAGAATAGGAATCAACTTATCTCACACTAAATAATATACAAGAAACTATTTATAACAACCTGCTTATTCCTATTACTATAACAGAACTTGAACAAACTATAAAGTTAGCACCTAAAGGGAAAGCAACAGGCCCTCTTGGAATCTCAAATGAGGTTCTTCAGCACCTACCTTCAGTAGCCCTCTTCTTTCTTTTGAACATTCTAAACAGTTGTCTAGTTTAAGAAATAATTCCAGACCAATGGTTGATAGCTAATATATGGCCAATACCAAGAAACAACACTACAACTATGAGCTCAACTCTATTCGGCCTATTACATTAATCGATCATACCAGAAAGATATTTATAAAGATTCTTACAAATCGGCTTACAAACATATTAGTCCATAATCAAGTGCTCTCCCCTTACAACTATGCAGCCTTTCCCTTCCAGTCTACACTCCAACCAATTTCGTAGCTCACTTACATTCTGAAAGATGCAACTACGAATAACAAATAAATTTGGATCCTCTCACAGGATATGTCAAAAGCCTTTGACTCTATCCATATACCTACTTTGTGCAAAGCTCTTACAAGGATACGCATTCCAGAGAAGGCAATAAATCTACTATCCTACCTGCTTCAAAATCGGAAAAACAAAGTAATTACAAGCCTAGAACTAACTGCACCATACCTAGTAGAAGACGGTATAGACCAGGGGGAAACAATCTCTCCCTTGTTGTGGAAAATCTATTACAATCCACTGATATCAAAAATACACAAAGAGCACCAGGGCTTCTGTAGTGAAATAGCTTCACTTCGACCAAAAGAAATTCATGCTTTAGTAATGGCATATATAGACGATTCCCTATGGATCGCACCAGACAAAGAATCACTTACTAAAATTTTTAATACTGCCTCCTCATTCTACAAATTTGCTAGTATAAAGGTTAATCCACAAAAATCTACGCTAGTAACAAACTCGATAGCTCTGGATAAAACTATAGTCTTCGATAATGAACAACTAACAGCAATTGCAAATGGAACACCATTTAAATACCTAAGAGCATGGTTCTCAACAAATAAAAAGCCAACATTAGTACAAAAAGAAATTATGGCCGAAGCAGTAATTAATCTAAAGAAGCTACAATTCGCCTATATAACAGAAAAACAAGCAATTTATATAATCAATAGTGTTATTACTCCTCGCCTCTTATACCGACTATACTCTTCTTTTCTATCAGCTGCGCAAACAAATGCTCTTAACAAAACCTGCATTAAACTAATCAAAAACAAAGCAAAACTAGCACGAGGAGTCCCCAAC